GACATCTGAGCTGCTGAAGACGCAGAGGATTAACGTTACTTTCGCTTTGAAGTGAATGCGCCACTCCCGATCAACCTAAATGCATCTGTTCGCTCGAATCATTCGTGATCCAGCCTCATCTACAGAAGAAGTGAGTATAAGGGTTTTTTATGAATCTTTGCAAATCACCTTTCCTAATAATGTGCTAATTAGCAAGTTTCACGATGAATGCGGCTAAAGTAAACAGTCTCAGAGCAGCGAGGAAGAGAGGGGCGGGGCCAGCAGAGCTCATTAACATTTAAAGCAACGTGGACTATAATGGCTTGATAAAAACAGAGCTGATTTTGACAGGTTTAAAAAGGTGTTTTTTACACCAACATTGAGAAATTTTAACCAAAGTACGTTATAGACTTTTGATTAAGACCCTAAAGAATCATATCAACTTGTGCAAAATGAGCATCCGATGACCCCTTTAAGTGCTTTTTTTTTTTCTTATTTAAGTTGTATATTTTCTCAGGTCCCCTTATAGCCTTTTTTGGAAGCTTAAAGTGAGGAGATGCAATATTTATCAGATTACTTTGGATATTTTTGGCTCAAAGCTCTGAGATGTCTTTATAGCCTTTTGAATCCGCTGGGCCAAAAAGAGCGAATGTGCGTTTGGGTTATATTTAGATGTTTTCCACTGTAACGTCAGCCGTGTCGTTTCTGTTTGCTTTCCTCGCTTGAAGCAAAATGATTTCCTCTCTGCGTTAAGTAGATTGCAGCTACCTCAGTTCCGTCGGTTGCTTTCTTAGTACCCGTTTCCTGACTTAATTTTTTATTTTTGCTCCATAGAACACTAGCCAAATGCACTAGTTCCCTCATACAAAAACTTTAGCTGTTCACAGTTTTATTTTATTAATGCTTAAGTAAAAAACATGAAACTTGCTTTGCGCAAATCCTATGAAGATGTGTACTTTTTCATGTCCTGGATGTATTTATAGGGACAGCGTAATGATATAATATTATAGATGAATTATTTTTACTGTAATGTGCATATGTACTGTATATACTAGGTTCTGAGTAAATTAACTGAGCACAAATGATCCCTTTGTTGTATTATAATATCTAGGTTGAATAGTGGGATTAAAACTCTGACATGAATACACATGACCTCTTTGAATCTATAAATGGCACAATTTATTCTCTTGGGGGTCATATTTTTTTTCTTCCTTTTTTAGTGTCTTATTTCAGGTGGCCAACAGACATGCATGACTAAATTTGCTGTATTGAAACTAATTTTGTCCTGTGTGCATCAGCGAGTGAGTACCGCTCACATAATACACCATCACAACCTCGTGTTTGTTTGACTGATGTAATACATTACACACAATTATGTGCATTTGCTTCTACAGGAACTATATGTAACTCTTGAAAGACGCTTTTAATCATGTCTAACTATGGTTGCATGGCATCACATTTACAGTATCTGTCAGTTTTCTTTATTTGTTTGATCAAAGTGTCCTTATATTTCCATCTCTCTCTCTCTCTCTCTCTCCAGCTCGGGATGATTAAGCCCATCCGCTCTCTGTATTCCTTGCAGAAGCTGTGAGGTTTTTGTGACTTTAGTGCATGTTGTTTTCAGCAGCTCCACACATCTTTCTAGGCCTGCATGTCAACTGTGCTAAAAAACCCAAGCATTTGCGTCATTAGTTTAGAAGCTCAAGCATTAGGAGTGGAAAAAAATGATTTGAGACCCAGTGAAATTTGAAAATACTCTTAAAATGTAACATTACAGCAGTTTTCATGGTGCATGTCCCCTTATGTTAGAAACTTTTGTATAGCACTGCAATATTTGAAAAGAAAAAAAAGATGTCATTAGTGAAAAAACTGATCGTTCTTGTTGCTTTGCACAGGGATGTGCAATGTTTTAAAGCAGGTGTTAGGTGTGTGTGTGTGACATTGAGACAGGCGGTCTTTTCCAGCAGTTGCCATGGAAATGGAGGGCGGGTGCCGAATCAGTGTTGTAATTATCACAATGACTTGTGGTTAATAAAATGATGTTATGTGGTTGCGCTGCTCTTTCTTTACTCTGTGACAACGCTTGATTTATTTTGTATTAGGATAGGAAAAGAGATATTCTGTTTACAGTGAATACATCAAGATTTTTCATGCCATGATTTTAATTCCAAAACATTTAAAAATAGTCTTATTTACAACAATACAGAAACATTGATAGAAGACAAACACTGGAAAAAAAAATGCACTTAGGGCTACAGAAATTAATGACTGCATCGCTTACATGCTCCGTTAAATGTCACAAAACTTAGTCAAGAACATGCCTGGGTTATATTCAGACCAAAATAATAAAAAAAAGTACATAAAACAAAACCCTTTTGCATAATACAATTAAAGCAAAAAAAAAAGTAGCACTGCATTATCTCAATGGAAATCACCACTTTGAATAAATGTAAAATAACATTGCAGTAAAGAAAATGGCTGAAACGTGCTAATGTGAAAAATTCCTAACAGGAACACAAAGCATTTTCTTTTTGATTTTGGTGTGAAATATGACTTTGACATGTTTATTACACACAAGATCAGAGAGAGAGAAAAAAAGATTTTGTGGGATTGTGGTTCATTAAAAGATGCGTCTTTAACAATCATCACTTTTACTGGGAAAAAAAAAGCTCAGAGCATGCCAAATAAATTACAGGTTTGACACCTTAATGAAAAAAAAAAAAGTAGAGTTGCCTAGTCCTGTATTTGGCCCAAAACAGCAAACTTGAAACCCACGATGTTTAACTACTGTTAGAAAATACATTAAGAGTGCATCATTTGTGTAATTAGTGCTGAAGCTCAAGAGTCTCTTAGCGAGTGCTGCAGGTCACTGCATGCCGAACCACTGCTCCTGATCGGCCCACTGCACCGCCTCGCTGTCACTGCCCTCCAGATCTCCCTCCTCCCCGCTGCCCTCCATATCGTCCCCGTCCAGCTCCACCGTGGCGTCTGTGGGACTCTCCTCCTTCTCCATCTTCTGCATGCCCTCCAGAGACTTCTGGTCATTCGGATCGAGGCTACAGAAGAGGAATAGAACAGTCAGTTCTGCTCAACTCTAATGTTTAAGATTGTACCGTACAGTGTGGATGATGTTACCTTAGCGCTATACTGTACTGGTCCATGGCCTCCTGATAGTCATTAACAGCTACAAGAAAATCCCCCAGCATCCTGTGCAGCACGCAGTCGCTCTGATTGGCTAATGTGTTCCGTAGAAGTGCTATTCCTTCCTCATACTTCTGTTCTCGACCTGTAATGAAAATGATTTAGGCATTACATAGCATTACACCAAAATATATGCTTTTGAAGCTTAAGTCAAGAGAATAACAACAATTTGTTTTATTTCATAACTACCTTTCATAACAGTTAATGAACAACAACAACAACAATAAACGATATAATGAAAATAGAAAAACAAATACATAAAAATTAATTACTACTACTACTAATAAATAAATAAAATGTATAATAATTATATTATTTAAAAAATAAAACAATTGATAATAATAATGATTAATGGAAAAACAAATAAAAATGTGCTACTACTACTAGCAGTAGTTCAGAAATAGAAAAACAATGAAATGTATAATAATTATATCATTTAAAAATAAAATAATAATAACAAATTATTATTTATTACACATTTTAAATAATAATAAAAAATAATAAATAGAAGAATAAATAAGTAATAATAACTAGAAAAGTATAAAATAAGAATATAATTCATAATTAGGAAATAATATAAATACTACAAAAGAAATAATTTAATTACTAAATAAAAATAAGTAATAATAACATGAAATAGAAAAATAAAAAATAACAATAATTGAATAATAATAATAAATTATAATTAATTAAAATAATAAAATAAAAATGAATAAAAGTAAAAATATGAAATAATGTAATTAATGATAACTAGTTAAGAAAATATAATAATTTAATAAAAACAATAACAATGATAATTTTATAATAATAATAATAACAATAATAAATACAATAAATAATAATTATTAATTAAAATTATTATTTATAATACATTAATTATAATAAATTATTAAATCATAATACATTAACAACAACAACAATAATAATATAGAAAAATCTAATAAAATAAATCATAATAAAATAATATATTATGAGCACAGTTTACGATTAACATAGAAAGGCGTGTGAATCTTTGACATACTGAGGAGCTCTGCTTTCTTCACGACGGCTTTGATATAGTCAGGCCTCTGAGCGAGGGCTTTGTCCAGCAGAGTCTTGGCCTTCTCCTGGGTCATGGGATCTTCCAGACACACTGTGGCCAGGATGGTGAGAGTTTGGGCATTCGCTCCCAGGGTCTTGTAAATATTGTTGGCCATTCCCATAGCCTCCCGGATACCATTAGAGGCAAGATAGCAGTCAATCAGACCTGAAAACAAAGGACGTATCACTCTGAGACAACAGAAAATGATTATGGGCTTTGTCTAATCTTTATAAAACAGGACAGACTGAATACAAGAACACAATAGAGTAACTAACAGCTATTCATCAAATAAATAGGCTAAATATCTATAATCTTTTATTGCACAAAAATATCACGACCTTCCTAAAAACCTACAAAATACGCATAATAGCTGGAAATGATTATTTCTATTATCATGAAAGTCTTTCTTACCTTCGTAGCAGTCCAGACGACAGGGTGCCAGTCTCATGGCTTCTCTGAAGTGTATGATGGCTTCCTGCACTCGGCCCATGTTCCTCAGCGCCACCCCCTTCAGGAGCAGCGCCTGCACACTGTTGCTGTTCAGCTGGATGGCTTTAGCTCCCAGATACAGCGCGCGAGAGTACCGCTTACTGTAGAAACTGTGACATCTGTGGAAAACATAAGAGCTTTCAGTAGCTTTTGATTCTGAAAACGTTTCAGACGCATTAGGAGAAGGTCAAACTCACCCAGATATGACCCAGGGCTCAGCATGCTGGTCGGATATGTTGAACAGCCGTCCTCCGAGAACCTCCACATCTTCCAGATGACCCTCCCTGGCCATCAGATAGCCGTATACATCCATACCTGCAAAACAGCATGATAATTTCATTCAAACCAACAAGAATCATAAAGCAGTGTATCTAGATTGCTGAAGGATTGGTTAATGCCATGCACCTTTGATCAGGTAGGGGTCAAGCATCTGTGCCTGCTCAAACTTCAAGATGGAGTTCTTGGTGTCTCCAGCCCTGAAGTACACATCCGCCAGAGTGACTAAAAGATCAACGTTATCCCTCAAGAGTGACTTCTTCTCCAAAGAGCTGAGGAGAGATAAACAAGGACTATAGACATGAATGAGTCCTCACACTGTGCAGAGGTGGGCAACTATTTTTTTTGCTATTTTTGCATGTATAAAATAAAATAAAATAAAATTAATAGTTAATGGAAATAAAGCTGAAATAAAAATAAAATAATATATTAGATTAAAATTTAAACTTAAAAAAAACTAAAATGAAAATGAAATGTTGCCTTGGCAAGTAACTGAAATATAATAAGTTTAAGTTGGAGTACTAAAATGACTGAAAACTGAAATTAAAAAGAAATTGAACATTTAAAAAATAAAAATGACAAATGTATAAAATTACTATAACCTAAAATTTCAAAGCAAACCAAAAAATCTAAAAATAAAAGCCAATTCAAAATATTATTAAATATTATCATAGCATTCAAATAATACAATAACACTGAATCTAATTTATTCTAATTAATCTAAATTTCGAATAATTTGTACTATTAAATAAATCTATTAAAAATTGGAAATTGAAATAAAGCGGATATAAAATCAAATATATATATTAGATGAAAACTTAAAATGTAAAAATGAAAAATGGAGCATTGGCAACTAACTGAAAATACATTTACGTATTGAAATGAGTGAAAATGAAAAAAAAAGCGAGACAGAGAAATAAATAGAAATATAAATAATAATAATAATAATAATAAAATGACAAAATTGCATAATATTACTAAAACCTAAAATTAAAAAGAAAAAAAATAGATATAAATAAAAGCTAATTCAAAATACTAATAAATATTACAAATGCATATAAATAATACAGTAACACTGGATCTAATCTTTTTTGATGACAGTGGTGGCAAATAATGAAGTTACACAATTATTATTAAAGAAAAACAATTTATTAAAAAAATTAAAACAAATATATAAAACATTTATTAATATAAAGATTACTACAACAATATTTTTACTGATAGTGTCCTATCCTCACCAGATAGTGTTGATGGCTCTCTGATTGTCTCCTCCATGTATGAAAGCATGTGCTTTAATCCAGACAGACAGCCAATCAAGATTCGGGATGCTCTGAATCACGTCCATCGTCATGGAAGCGACCTCTGCCCCCTTCACCGACAGAGACAGAAGCCCTGCAGCGGACCAGACAGGACTGAGCTTTAATGTTGGGTTCAGACAAAACAAAAAAGCACAAGATGCAGCATCACAGGAACACCGCTGTATTCTTACTGACCAATAATAGCATCAAGAGCCAGAGGACACTGTCTCAACACTTCCTTATAGCTGGTTACAGCTGAACGCTCCTGACCTGCCTTTCTGTAAAGATTCGCCAGCATCATGTTGATCTGGAATTCAAGACAATTAAACAAAGTGCTCTTTTACCTCAGTTTGAGATGTTGTCATTATACAAATTTATGTCATTTGTCACAAAAACGCGCGCGCACACACACACACACTTGTAAAACCAATGACAGTGTGTGAAAACACACCTTTGGCGTTCTCTGGCGTGAAGGGATCCCCTCCAGCACTGCTATGGCATCTTTATCCAGCTTCAGAATAGTGTAACACTCTGCAATTTTATATTTCACTTCAATCTCTGACGGCAAGTTCTGTAGGTGATGAACAAAGAGTTGGTTAACCACATTAAAAATTCATTCACACAGGAACATGAGAAATATGGCAGTCATAACAAAATTCACCATGTTAACCACAGTTTCCTCCAAAACGCCACAGCAACTACAACTCTTATCAATTTTGTAAAATCATAATAATTAGTGTTTGCATAGACAAGTATCACTATCACTATTTCTCATGATCTTTATATTTTCTGACAAAAATTAAAATAAAATAGAAATTATATTAGATATTTTATTATATACACTACATTTCGTAAGCTTGGGGTCAGTACAATTTTTTTTTTTAATTGAAAGAAATGAATACTTTTATTCAAGGATGCATTAAATTGATCAAAAATGACTTGACACTTAACATTTTGTTATCAAAATGTTTTCTTTTAAATAAATGGTGTTCTTTTGCATTTTCTCCAGAAGAATCAAGAAAACGTGCACCTTGATTTCCACAAAAAATGTGAAGCACAACTGTTTTCAACATTGATAATAATGAGAAATGTTTTTTGAGCAGTAAATCAGCATAATAGAATGATTTCTGAACATCATGTGACACTTAAGACTGGAGTAATGATGCTGAAATTTCACGAAATAAATTACATTTTAAAGTGTATTAAAAAAAGAAGACAGTTATTACATATTGTAATGTTTCATAACACTAAAGCCTTAAAAAAATATGAGACTTCTTATATATATATATATATATAAACATTTGAACATCAGAACCAAACTTCTGTAGTGTAATATAATATACGTTTTAATGACAGTGGTGCACAATAAAAAAATATATTACCTATAGTTATTTAGTTTTAGATTAGTTAATTTAGCATGCACTTACCTAAGAACACAAACTGAAGCGACTAAAGCCCTCCCTACACCTACCCTAACCCTACCCGATACTTTATTTTCAACTTTGATTATTTCCTTAATTTTTATTGAAAATAAATGCCTTTACGATGTGACACGAGATCTGAAAAGAAAGGAAAAAAAAGTTCTGCAAAAGGCGGGATCGAACCCGGGTCGATCGCGTCAAAAAGCCAACGACACACGCTTATCCATCTGCGCCACTGGAGCTGATGTTTTACAGCTACTTTTAACTAAATGTAAATATACACTCCGTATTTTTTATTCCATAGTAAAGGCAATTCATACAATACATTTAAACTGAGCTACTTTAATACCATCTCCGAACTATCTACCACGACTCTGCTGTTCTTCGGCTGGTTTTTCCTGTATACGTTGATTGACAGATGTCTCGTCCAGTCAGCGGTGAGTAATCCCAAACCAATGGCGCTGTCTCAAACTATACTTACCTCTTCCGGTTGTCTGATTTGTCGTTGTTTTCTGACTTGTTCATTTGTTTTCGGATTTGTCGTTGTGTTTTCTGACTTGTTATTTTGTTTTCGAATTTGTCTGTGTTTTCTGATTTGTTATAATGTTTTCTGAATTGTTGTTGTGCTTTCTGAATTATTTTGTTTTTTAGACTTGCATTTGCGTTTGTAATTTGTTATTTTGTTTTCAGAATTGTGATTTGCTTTGCACTTCTCGGCCACCGTATTAAACCAAGGCAAAAACAATTCAAGTAGTGTTAATGTAGCAAACTGTGGTATTTCAGTGGATGTGTAGCGCAGTAATTTAGCGTGAGATGAGGGCCCAGTAGCCCCTCACTACAGAACACAAGATCCAGGGGGCGTGGTTGGATCCACCTCTAGGGGGTGGAGCTCACCTGTGCCTGCACTGCAGATGCTGTGCCGCCTGTGCTGGATGGACGCACTTTAGATGTTTTGCTGATCACTTTCTTCTGCTGTAAAGCCATGTTGTACTTACAGGCTGCGTTCCTGTACTCTTTATCATGGAAAACAGCATCAGCGTGATACACCAGCAGCTGGTACTTCTGAGACGGTGACAAAAGCTCCCTGAAAAAGAGAACTATGGTCACCATGGTCAATTGTTGCTCTACCGTCGATTTTACTTTATGCGAGCTTACAGAACAACACATTTCTGTTTCTGCATGATTTGTTGTGCATGTAATAAATAAACCGTTGACTTTTAATATCATCACCGAACAGACACACACTTCACTTGACATCCGACAGCCTCCAGATCTGTTGAACTTATATAGTGACGCACTGGAGACACTCACGGGTTGTTGGTGCTCATGGTCAGGAGTAAACTACTGATGATCCGGACATTAGAGTGCAGCCCGGCCGCTGCCATTTCCCGCACATGTTCGATCACATTCATCTTCAATCGATTAGCTTTCAACTTCAAAGCACAATTCCAGTTAATAAACGCGCTGCGACACAGCGGAAGATGCAGCAGCGCTACAGTGAAGAGTTTTTTAAACGGCAGGAAATGATGCGATTTCAAAATAAAAGTCGGATTGGGGACAACCCAGTCGCCAAACGAAAAGTCTCCGCCCTTGACAAGCGATGTTTACAAAGATTCCACCCTGTTGATGTTGTTTTAAACATTATTATTATTGTTTCTTATGATCCTCCGTGTATTATGTTAATTATTAGATATTAATATTAAGTCTGCTTTTGCTGGATATTAATCTATTGACAGCCGTAGTTTTAAACGTAGATTGTAAAAAATAGTTTTAGCAGTACGATAGTTTTAACGGTGAAAAGGTTATGTACATACGTTAGATAATAGTTTGTACTTGTGTTTGAATTATAGCTTTCGGAACCATAGAAAAATCACTGAGACTTTTTTTTAATCTTATTTACTCGCTGAAATAGAGAGATAATGTAGACTTCCGCTTTAGACACTTAGCTACTCTCCTACCTCAACATGTGTTCTTGAGATAGATAAATCAATAAAAATAGTAATCGCATGTCTTCTGTAAAGTAATCTAAAATATGTGCCAAGTCTGCAATATTAAGTCAGATATCACAATATGAATTTGAATGAAACCATAAATTATCTGAGCTGTTACCTACATTATTTGTTACATTAAATCTGTAAATCTAAGCTAGTTTACAAGAAAGATCTAAAAAAAAAAAAAGAGTTATCTTAAGATCAGTATAATTAAATGCACTCATATGAACTATCAATATTTATTTCAGCTTGTAAGAAACATCTAATAACTTGATTATTCATTTTGTATTGGCTTAGGAGATGAGGTCGGACTCGAGTTGTTGGTTATCGTAGAAATTCTCGATTGGGTAATGCTATCTACATAATTGTGTTCACATATACGACAAACTACTTCCAAAATACATATTTTTATATACCTTAAATACATTTTTAATTATTCACGCACAGATTTTTTTTTGTCACAGCTTTAAATTCTATGTGTCCCCTAACCAAAACAAATGGACCCTACACACACACAAAACAAAGACATTGATGATTTTACCAGGTTTCACGGGGTTATGTGTACAGAGGTACATGTCAGTTGTATGTTATATGCAACTGAATCATCATCATGTTCAAACAGTGATGATCTATGGTCTGGGCTCTTTGGAATTTTGAAACCAACTTCAGTCCAATTCACAGGTAAGAAAAGGTTCCTGTGTAAGCATCGTTGCAGGGGTTCAGGCTCATACGCATGTCCACTTCAAACTGTTACCTAACAGTTTTTAATCTTTGCTTCCCACAATCAACTTCAAAGTGCACATTTGATCACATCTCACAACAGAGTAAATCTCTCTGCAAACGTCCAAGTAAAATCCTTTTAAAAAACAAAAGGAAAACTGCATTGTATAAAATAAATCACACCGACACCACTTTATGAACAGCTTCAAGCACTTGATAGTAGGTCTTTGATCACTGCGACGGCTCTGGGAGATCTACAAAAAAGTGAAGAGTATTGAAATGTACCTTACAAACAGTTGTAACAACTCCTAAAATCTTTCTTGCAAAAACCACACAGGAGAAGACGCACCTTCCTTTATCTACACAAATAAATACACAAATAAATAACATGCACGATTAACAAAATAATGAGTTTCCCTGATTATCAGCAATTATTTGTAATCGGAAGACAACTGATTTTAAACAGGCCTCAAATTGCTAAAATGATAAGGATGAGTTTAATATAAACAGAATCATTAAAATGTAGTTATTTATGGGGCAAAAGATTATATCTCACAATTCTGACTATTTTTTAATTCAGAACTGTGAGATAAAAGTCACAATTATCTTTTTAATTTTTTTTTATTCCATGGGAAAAACTAAGAAAAAACAAAAACTCAGAATTCTAAAAAAAAAAAAAATTGTAAGACTTGGAATTGCTAGAAAAGCAATTTTTATCTTGCAATTCTGACTTTTTAAAATTTTCTCAGAACTGTGAGAAAGTCCAAATCGTGGGATAAAGAGTCTGAATTATCCCATGTGGGAAACGAGAACTTGATACACATTAAAACTGGCACACTCTTGCTCAAAGAATTTTAGTAACAATCAAATCCAGAAAAGCTCCTTTTTGAGTTCAGCTGGATACTGTGTTAATCTTGCAGAAAATAAGCAACAAAATCCTGATGAGTGCTATTAATTACTGAGACTGTGTCTCCTCATAATGACCTATTATCATACATGCTTCAAGCTGTTCAATCCAGCAACTGAATTTACAGCAATCCCCCTAAACCCAAAGAGTCTTTATGTGCATTTGTAACATATAAAATAAATAAATAAAAATATCAGTCTTCAAGGAACTTCCACATCCAAAGTGCCCACTGAGGCATCATGGTATCAGTTTGCAGTTGGAGTCGCAGTTGTTTTTCCAGATTGCACCGCAAACATCCAGATGGTGAGACGGTCCTGGACTATCACCATAAATCCCAGGTTACGATCTCAAACCCCGTAATCTGACATATCAGAGTCATGTTTTCTGTCTTCTCACTTGCCACTGTTCCACTTCAAATTTACACACAGGTTCAGACGCAGTGCAATTACAAAATAAAATCGAATCACTGTTTTAATGTAAAAAAAAAAAAAAAGGTTTCAGTAAACTGTAACAGAAATACAGTATCGTTTCCAGTCTCGTAGCTGCCATTACAGTAACTTGTGATTGCTGTGTCTTGCAACTTCAGAGGAGAGTGGCTTTTAAAAGCAATTTGTTGTTCTAGCCGAGCAAGCTACGTCCTTTCCTCTCGTTCTGTTTTCCGGCGAGTGATGTTGCGAGGCTTGATCTTCAAAGAGAGCTCCCACAATGCCTCTTCAGCTAGATGGTCACTGAAGTCGTTGAAGAATGACACAATGTCGTCGTTGTGTTTGAGGTCATAGTGCCTGGAAGAAAGAGAAGTAGAAGTCATGCAAAAAGCTTCATTTGAAGCTGAGAAAATATAAAATGTGAAGAGACATCTATTAAAAAGACATCTGTAGGTTACCACCAACAACCAACAATGTCCCAGCCACATTTTCACAATCTAATACAATTTGAATAGATACAATCAAGTCCTGCATATTTAGTTTTCACTTGATTATGAATGTCAAAGGGGTTGTCCAATGTTGTCCAAGTACTCACACTTGCTGGAAGCGCCTCATAGTGTCCAGGATATTGAACTGCTGCCAGCGTTTGGAAAAGTTGATCTTTCCATCAATGAGGTCAGGATTCCCAAGATGCACAAAAGTTAGGTCCTGGAGGATGAGACCTCTGTATTTTGCGGCAAAACAGGGGAAAGAGTCGTTAAAGATGAATATGACATTTTACAAGCAATACAAAATGTGCTTTTTAATGCTTAACATCTGTTCTTACAGATACGGTATACATGGAGGCTCCACATCTGCCAAAGCTGCTCTGTACGCCCGGAAGGAGGAGGAACTGTCAATTAAAGTGCAATATTCCTCCAAACCCTGTGAAGATAACAGATATCAGTTACTGTGACGATCGACTGAGCACTACAATAATATAGAGACAGGCAGTGCTGGGTAGTAACTGATTACATGTAATCTGGATTACATAATCAAGAGTCCAAAAATTAAGTACTTGTAATTCAAGTATATTACATTTTAAAATGCTCATAATCCGATTACTGTTACTTTTTATGGATTACATGATTACATATTATTCCCACAATGGCAGTAAATTATTCATAATTTATTGATTCTCCCTAACTTTCTTTCCTTTCTAAAAATCCCATTCAGCTTTGACGACAGACAGAAAGAAAGAAATATTTCAAGGAATAGCTCTCTTTGCTTTTTTATATCAATATGGTATGTTTAATGGTAAATTAAAACAAGTTTAATAAAAAAAAGAGTCTACTAAAGAATACATTACCTAAAGTGAGTAACCTAGATTATGTTACTAACTACAGTTTTCATCATGTAATCTGTAATCAGTAACGGACTACAATTTGTAAGTCATCTACCCAGCTCTGGAGTTCGTGATTTACCTCCGATGTTTGCTTCTGCCATTCCAGTCTTCTGATAGGCGCCGAATCCAGCGCTGATAATATTGCCAAGTAGGAGTTGAAGTTATTGAGTTTTCTTAAGTGCTAAATTACAAAGAGACACAGGTTCATTTAGATTAGATTCAGATTAGATTAAGTTTGGAAGAATTAAATTGGTTTGTACCTTCATTATTTTGATAAACTTTAAAAGTAGTTTTTCCCGATCCTGGGCTTTCTCTTGCTGGATTATTAAGGAGCGAACCCTTAAAAAGAGAGATTAAAATATATAATGTACTGTATACTTATTAGCGTGTCCATAAACAATTTTTTCTCCATCAACATAAGATTTTATGTTGAGATTTATATGAATGCAATGAAAATTATTTTGTATCATATAGGGAAGTTGTCACCAGACATAGACAGAGTCTAAGGGTGTGTTCACACTTGGAGTTCGGTTCGTTTGGTTCATTTGGTCCGGACCAAAACGGAAAATAATACATTTGGTCCTGGTCCGCTAAGCGTTCACATTGGCATTTTTGACAGCAAACCTAAAGACACCGAACCTAAAGGCATAGTGATACGTTCACAACCTGATTGGTCGGCTTGAATGACGTATATATCGTGATGGAACTCACCGAACTGTGTCTAGATTAAAGACACATCTCTTTGGCCAAGCATTCAAATAATGCATCTCATTGCTGGACTAAGCGCGCTCATTCTTGCGTGTACATATAATTTTATTTTCACCACCTGCAAACTCACAAGGAGCTCATACTTTACCTCATCGTTGCTCCACGATTGCCCTCTGCTCATTTTGTTTTGGTTACACCGCGTTGTCAAATCATGTCGCATAGCGTCGCATCTTGTCATTACTTCCTGGTTTTGGTTCGTTTAGAAGTGTTTGGTCCATGTTGCATTCATATATCATTCGAACCGCACCAAAGTTCATTTGGAATAGTGTTAATTTTGTCAGCTATTTTTAATTTAGTCTTAGTCCTGTGTCAAATGTAATTTTTAGTTTTCT